AACTTATAGCATTGAAGAATAGTTTCTATTTGTCTAAAGTTAGCAATTCTCAAGAGGTAACCAGCTAGACACTATTCACTAGCTCTAGGGCCATAAAAGAATAATTTATTGCAGTTTTTAATGCAACTCCCATTAATGCTAATACGAACTTCCTGTTTATTTGCTTTATGTGAAACGTGACTAAAATTTATACCACTAGTACAAAGTCGATAATTAATTTACTGTTAAAAACTCTTGACGCTATGACTCATGGTGTTCAGATGTCGTGTGGATAACGTTGGCACAAATGACCAGATGGGTTGAACCATTTTACGCCAAGAATGTCAAATTTGGATAATTAAAAAAGGTCATTCTTTGCCATTGAAGATAATGTTTGTTTCATGTTAGCAAGCTGAAATTAGATTCATAATGGCGTAAGATGCATTAAGCAACTTTTTGACTTTTTCATGGTTATTCTTAATGAATATAGTTGAAAAAAGATTATTTGCCATTTTAGATTAATTCATAATAATATTAACATCACTTTAGATTAGACTGATTTTAGCCCTAAACATCAACTTTCGATAATGCTTTAATATCGAAAACTTAGATATGACTGAGATATGCTGTAGTAAAAGGAATTATTAAATAGGAATAAACTAAATTGATATAAGAAATGTTTGCCGGTCCCATTTAAGAATACTACAGTATAATATATTCATTATAATTCTATATTTTGTAAAATTCTGTATAAGCTTAAGGCTTTTAATAGATTAACAAAGATAAATAATAGATTAAATAATAGGTTTATGAATTAGTTCCTTTGCAATTTATTTTATAATTGCTAATGTTATCTACCATTATGAGTTTTCGACCTTGAAGCGATTTTATAATATAATATAAGACGGTATATCTGCTACTACAGTACCACGGAAGTATAGCTTAATAACGAAAATGATATAGTTGATACAAGTGGCACTTCTTTTTTGCCTCTGGATCCTATGGTCAAGTGGCAAATTATTAGATAATTTTTTAACATACTACACTAGAAGAAAATTATATTCAATTGGTAGCACTATAATAACTTTACCATGACAGTTAGAGTACTTAAATCATTTTCACAGATCTAACTGAACTACAGTACACCGTACTTGTATCTGATCTAGTCCAGTTATGGTTTGAATAATACTAAGTCCATCTACAGAATGTGATTCCCTTGTCGCCGTCATCGGCATCGGTGTCAGAGCTCATTATCGGCGTATAAATTAATTTATTGTAGTTACTGCACAATATTAAATAGTGCGAGTTGTTTGCTTTGTTATTTCATGAACTTAGCAGTACATATGTAGTGGAGGACTGCAAAAAAATTAATTTTCGTTCATTTTTTGAAGTCCTTGTTATGTCAGCGATGGTCTGATAAAAGAACTCACTTATAATTTTAAGTGCCTACAGCTATATAGCAAAAATATATCATATATGGAGGAATAAGTTCCTTAATTACACATAAAATTATAAGCCTAACGCCTCCCTCAACAACAGAGACGCATCATTAAAGATCAGGCACGACTATCAGATAGTAGTTTACTCTTGGATGTCTATTTCGAACTAAAAAATTTCTTTATTTTATAAATGCACATGTATGTATACATAGTAAGATACGCAGGTTTACATTAGCAAATTTTAGCTATAGCATATTATCTAAGGTATCTATTAGGTATCTAAACAGTTCAATAATAGATAAGCATTATATACCCACATATTTAATCGTAAAGCAAAGTTTTGAAAGCAAGTTATAGGTTCTATTCAATTTAATTGCAACATCTTAAGGTAAGAAAGACTATCAATTCACTAATAGTTTACGATGGTGCATACGATTATCATAATTAAATTAGAATGACCAAAATGAGTAAACTACTAGTAAGCTTCATTTATCTAACCAACATGATGAAGGTGTAACTGGATATCGATAGTCATTGCGTACGATATTGGTTGATAATAGGTACATCTAAGTACATTCACTAATACTTTAAGGTTTATTAGTTACAACATGGTGTGGGTTTGAGGTTCATAAAGACCTCCCAACCACCAGTTTGCTGTCGATGATCCATAAGAAGAGCATGTATGCTTAGTACTGTAACCATTATAGTGACCAAAGTCTGATTCTTGATGCGATGGAACAGCACCAGGAAATTTATAACGTCCACAATACTTAGTCGTATGGGACGCTAAAAATGTCGGATGATAACTAGTGGATGCCCAGAACGGGAAATAACACCTGACACAAGCATTGCCTCGGACAATCACATAGTCAAATTGATGGCAACCAAATGAATACAAGTAGACTATATTGAGGTCACAGATATTATTTCGCATATAGTCATTACGTTCGATATCTTTAGTTAGATTCTGAGCATATTCGTTAAAGTTACAGGTTGCTCTCCAATGAGTTGTAGTGTTAATTGAATTAATAGTTCGCATGTTTGCTAATGACATTCTAAAAGCTGACCAATGTGCAGGATTGTTTTCATTGTATGGAGCATTGACAGTATAGCTACGTTGGAAACGCCAGGCGTTCGGAAGCTTGGAGCCATAAACACCAATATTACGATCAAATGATTCGATTAGAGTCCATACAAATGGAGCATCACTTTTGAAATCGCAATAAGCATGATAGGCAGCATTTTTACTATCGTATATAATGTAAATGCCGTTTGTATTGATATTCGGGTTGATATATTTGATCTCTAAGCAACTTTTGGGCTTCAATCCTTTATAGGGCTATAGATTATGATAAACCAGCGATTAAGAAAAGAGAAGAATGAGAATATATGTTTATAAAGGTAATAGATTTTAAAATTTTCATAAACTCAAAATAAAGTAGGCAATGGAGATGCTTATTCTGCTGTCTATATTGTGTACTATCTGCTTTATTTTATCAACTCATACAGTGTAGAAGCAGTGTAGAGATTTTACAATTTGTAGAAGTAAGATAAAATCATTCCTTATCGTACTTTTTAGAATTACTGATCGGCTGTTAGCTCTAATCATCCCTTACCATACCGGTATGAATTATAGAGTTGGGTAGTTTTGAAAATAGCGAGAATATATTAAGAAAGTATTGTAGCACATTACCGTACAATAGTTATCGATAACTTTTACTTAAATAATTCACTTATAGTTGCATTTCAATATTAAACATATGTATGCTCTAGTAGATACAAAATCGTACGGATATGGTATCCTTATTTGATGTCTTATTTAAATAAGTTTAGTCATATCTTAAATAAGTTTTAGAATTGTAGCTTAAATTATTTTGTAATTTTATTAAGGTTAGGTAAATTTCGGTAGTAGACGAAAGTGACTAAAGAAAGGTTAATTTCAAGCTAGCGTCATGCTTCTTTAGTAATATAGTAGATTACAGTTTAGAAATTAAACTAACCAACTTTTCGTCGAGTACTTCGCCAAATGCAGCATGAATGACGATGTAGAGTAAGGCCAGGATTAACAAATTCTTCATTTTTCGTAATAGTTAGCAAAAATTACCAATACTTAAATGAATAGGATTGGCACTATTTGATGAGAGGTAACAAACAACAAGATGAATTATAGACAACTAAACATAAAATTATGCTATCAGAAATAGCCTATTTCTTTATTTAATAGCAAGATCAAGTTTGTCTGTGTTATAAATACTACTGTATGAGTGCTATAATTTTCATAAGATAGAGGATTATAGTATAGGCTGGCGCAGTGTAGCAATACAATGGCACTATTTCTTACACATTAAGCTCTTCATGACGGACAGTAAAATAAATAAATAAAATTCTATGGGATAGATGCGAAAATAGCCATAGATTATGAATGACTACACTTCTTTTGTTACATTTTGGATCAACGGGTGTCTATTCCCTCGTCGCTCGTGTCATGGCCATCAGCAGAATAATTAACTAGAACTGGCCTTATTATTATTGTACTTGCGATGGGAACTTGTTTATTAAACTAATTCACGCTGATTATCATAGAAAACTCATACATTAAAGGAGTCTTAGTGCATATCTTCTATACCAGTTACATCACATAAAATTTTTGACGAACCATTCCGGATGCTGACAACTCTAACCCATTAAGTGTTCAATGTGTTCATGCAACATCTATTAAATTAAGGCAATAATTATGCCTTAATTCTTATAACCGACTAATACCATACGTGTCATATCATTCACTTCGATTCGGTAGTTAATGGCAAAGTATGAGTATCAGCTTTATAAAGGCTTTCCAAATATGAAATGGATTTGCTATCTAAAAGTAGAACATATTCTCCTATTACAATAATTATTATAGAAATCAAAATTACTAGTGCAAACTCCCGTCGCTTTGCTGACGGTTTACGATAATGTGCTCATTTAACAGATAGTATTACCATTTAATAGACCTGTCAGAGGTTCAGTAACTTTTTACCGTGTACTTGTAATACGGAATAGCATTTGATTCATGTATTTAAGTAAATATGATCAACAACATAAACGAATTATTTATGTTGATAATCATGTACATACAGCGCTATACTTGGATATATAATTGTGAGGATAACAAACATGCCCGATAATATTTCATAGATCCATTATTATATTGGTAAATTTTATTCTCTACAATTTATATTGTTGAATTACGTGTGGCAAATCTATTAATGAATTTTAGTGGAAGTATACAGATTCGCTACTGTAACTTTTTGTAATAATAAGTCTAACGTTAGAGCTAACGGTGTTCTGCCATATGATATACAAAATATAATAATTACTGTGGGTGCAAATATATCCTCATATGATGAGATAGTGCAATTTCCGAACGCAAATTTTTGCACGCATTGTATCAGTATTTTGACCTAGAAAATTATCTCCGTTATCGATTCCTAGTTTTGTTGCTGGCATAATTGTTAAAATTGTATGTTACACTTCAACCCCTAGGTCATGTAAATTTATTCATGGTTTTATACATTAGTTGGTAAAAATGAATAAGCTTCCCGGTATGAGTTTGATGTTGATTTGAAGGAGCATTGATGATATAAAGATGTATCATCTCTTAAGTGGTATTTGATCAATGAGAGCCCCAGACTCTGTAATTACGATGAAGGATGCGAACAAATGTTCAAATGCATATCATATCATTCTTGAAATTGTAATAAACTAGGCAACGATTTTGGCAGGTGTAAATTCTGTATGCATTATTTTATTGATCTTAGGACTGAGATATTTGATCCTTGATCAAGTTTTAAGCTTTGGCTTCTCTAAAACTCTGCTTGAAAAGTAAAATACGTATATTAATTAAAGTGCGTGAAGTTATCTTTACATCTAATCTATTAGAATAGAAAGCGATTTCATGGTTGTTCGTGTGTACTTGCTGTATTTCAGAATTTATATGCTACACTATATTACTGCGATAGAAAGAATTCATGAATTAATTAAAGGTGAAAGTAAGGTCTTAGTTTAATCTTCCTTAATAGAGTAATCGATGATAGGAGAGTAACCAATGATTGCTCTAGCTACTTATCAATTTATGGTTTATATGATACTGTTGCATATTTTCTATGGGAGTTACATACTGACTATACTATTAGTAAAGGATGTATTCTGTGAGTAGAAGATTTATCATTTAGGAATCTAAATTTTAAAATCTGAAAACAAACGATTAGTATGAAAGTTTCTTTAAATGCAGATATACCAGTAAATCCGCGTTCTATATATTTTAAATATAGTTAGTCGTGAACGTCTGTTTTTAAAGTTTACATTTTTTATTTCAAAGTGCCTGTAAGTAAATAAAGATAAATGAAGTTATATCAATCAATTCAGTCAACGGTGCCCAATTTACCTAAGTTATTTTATCGGGTTATTATGCAATCTAACAGTAAATAAGAACCATATATTTATCATGGTATTTTGTATATTGAATGTGATTATAATTATTGGTTTTACTGAATTTAATTCTAAAATCTTATAACAGGAAAGGCTACAGTTTTACTAAAGATTATGGTGCTACATATGTTGATCAAGTTCGAATCATTCTACTAACTGCATCTAGCATCTAGCTAACTTAATGTGACAGGGTAGTATTCGCACACGACATAGTTTAGCATACAGTACATATACCTATTTTTGCTAATACTATACTTTAAAACTGATTAATTACAACATAGTATGAGTTTGAGGTTCATAAAGGCCTCCTAACCACCAGTTTGCAGTCGATGATCCGTAAGCAGAACATGCATGCTTGGTGCTGTAACCATTATAATGACTAAAGTCTGATTCTTGATGAGATGGATTAGATTCAGGGAATTTATAGCGTCCACAATAGTTAACCGTATGGGAAGCCAAAAATGTCGGATGATAATTACCGGCTGCCCAGAAAGGGAAAT